ACAATCCAGTCCATCCCATCTCATTCCATCTATTCTTCCCTCTTTCCAGGACTCCCCGAGGATCTTCCCGCCCTCCTCCAGCTCTGTCTGCTCTGTTTGCAGGGTCAGTGGGTTTGCCTACAGAGAGGTTTGGACAGGAGGAGAGGGATAAAGGGGTGTGGCATGTTGACAAGTGTCTTTGATCACCGTGGGGGTTACAATCCAGTTTATTCCACCTGATCAACACTGTCTTGACCTTGTGGTCCCACACCCAGCAGAGGAGCAACTGAATCTGGGGCTCAGGGGAGGGGCAAAGGGAAACCACCAGATTTTCCCTCTTTTCCCATCTTAACTGTCCAGACTTTGTTTTCCTGGGGTCATCCTGGAATTTTTATAAATATTAATATAAATAATAACACCTTAGCTATAATCCATTGTCATTTTAAGATTTGATATATGGGATAAAACAGTGCTTGAATAGTACTAAATGACTCATTATGAAAAGTGTTATCCTTGAATTACCTTGAATAAACAGCATTAACAAAATCTTAACAAAATGCAGCAAAAGTCAAAGTCAAAACAAGCATCAATCACTAATTTTCTTCCTTGTCCTAATTACATTTCAATGTTTCTCATTTGTCTGCATGCTGTCAAAGCAAATGACTTCTGGACTTTTGCACAGCATCCATCTGTACCACTAAAATATTTTAAAATGTATTTATACATTCTTATTTAAATCTAAATGTGTAAAAGATTGTTTTTGATTGAAAATATGTGAAAAATAAATTAATCAGGTGTTTAAAATCACAACACTTGTGGCACTCACGTTGTACCAGCAAGTTCATTAAATGTACGCTTGCTGCCATCTGCTGTTGCTCCAGTCAGTCTTTTTCTTTTCTTTTTTCTTTTTCTCTAATGCATCAGAAAATCAACATTTTGATTATGCTTCTAGAACTAAAGAATCTTTGATAACTGCCTGACATTTTCGCTATGAAATTAAAAAATCCTAGTTCATATGGTGTTTAGTGTTATTATTGGTAATAAATTTTCGTAAACTGCAAATATATAGTCTATCAATAAACTCCGTCACTGAAACTGGTCCACACTAGAAAAGAGTTCACAGAACTCTAAATGTTGTTTAAGTCTAGAATTTGCTAAATCTTTTTTCTTTAGTTCCAGTAAGGATTTTACAGAATTGAATTAAGTCCTAATGACCACCAGAGGGCGCCAAAGTGCCATAAAAGACTACATGTTCAGTAGACGGTTTTCTGTGATTTCAGGAAAACACAAAGTAAGTAAGTAAATATCTTCAAAGCAAGAGTGTTTTCCAGGTAAATGTCAGAGGATACGTACCCATCTGTAATTATCTGGTGCTGGTTTCAGTCACATGGATAGTGTTTGGTTTGTTTGTGTTCCAGAAATGAAATATCTCAAGCCTCAAATGCCATATCACAACTTTTAGCACTTTCCCTTTTGCAAAACTCTTTGCAATCCCCTGGTGCATCCCCCAATTTAACATCTATGTGCAGATATAAATAAATCTAAAATGACATAGAGCAGTTCCAAGAATCATTGAGATGCCAAAGCAAACAAATGCTGTACAACATAAATTCGATATATTAAAGAAGTAACTAAATACAATACTGGTGGGATCCTCATGCTTTGTGCTTATATTTTTGCTGGAATGGTTCACATTCACTTGTCCCCGTAGAGGAAAGAGTCCCTACAGATTAGCACAAAGTTGTTCTGAGTAATGAAACACTTACTTATAGGATTGATCTCTTTTAGGATGGCAATGCTGTCATGCACGAGACACAAGGTGTCTGTGAGTGGTTTGAGTATTTAGTCTTGAGTCACTAAGCAGTGAACCAGCTGAGATTTTATATGAGACAGTGCTGCCCTCTGCTATGATAAAAGTGCAGAATGAGAGTATGTATCCCTGTATTGGAGGTCCAGAGACTTTGGAGAATTAATGCCAAGAGCACTGAAGCTGCATGTAGCTCATTTACATCTTATTTTTAGATGTCTTTACATTTGTCTTCTGTCTGTCTTTGTCCGACATTTAAAAAGAAAAGGCAGGAAATTCACCTGCAGGGTCAGTAGAGCAGTAGAATCCTTGGTCAGCTGAAACGTGAAAACATTTGTTTTTCCATTTTGTTAATTAGCTATTTGGTCCTTGGAGACTAAAAGGCAAATCAAGTCTGAAAATAGCAGCTGGGCCTTTGGAAACCAGAGGTAATGTCTAATGTCTGTCCTCAATACATTCAATTTGCTCTTACACCAGCCCATTAGAGCTGAGGGCAATCCCTGCAACCCCATCGCTTCCCTTGGGAGCCTGTTACTTGCTCAGTACTCCCCCAACCATCCATAAAGGATTTGTCCCTGTAACCATCCCTAGTAACATGGTACCTTCCAATCATTGCTTTTTATGTACCTTCCAATGCACACTTTAGACAGCAGGTGCATGAGTGATGTGGCAATATTGTAGCATAAAAAGTGTAAAAAAGAAAAAGTAAGCCAAGAGGTGGCACGGCTGAGAACTCTCCTGCAGAGCATCATAACATACTTGGACCTGTTTTGTTGTGAGTGGGTGGCCATTTCATTTGTGCTAATTCAGGAGGAAATGTGCTCTCTGAAAGATGAATTTTTCACTTAAAGGCTTAAAAGACCTCTTTGCATTTCTAAATGTTTTTTTTCTACATGCATTTCCTCTCATAGTGGCAGCATCTGAACTGAAGTGTTCAAAGATAAAACGAGGGTGTGAGAAAATAGAACCACAACTTTAACAATGTAAGTTTACACAGTTCACTTCTGACAGATGTGTGCATTTACGCCATCTGCTAAATTCTCTTGAATTTATTATAAGCAGCAAAACTGAGTTCCATCTAGAGCCATGAAGTGGCTCTTTTGGTTTCAACCATTTAAATCCAGTTCTCTCCAAGCGCAGCCTGTGGGGAGGGAGGCCAGCGACATTGACAAGCCATATCAAGTCATATTCTGGCTTTCTACAGTCATCACAACTTTTGAAAACCCATAATTAAAATGCACAACCTTATAAAAACACAAGCATGGATGGTCTAAACTTGTAAAATTACATCAAAGCATGAAAGTGGTGCATATGGATGTGATGCTTTGCTGATTTGCCGACTTCAGATTCAACATATGCAAAAGTCATCTGACAAGAACTTAGGGGATTTTGTGTATGTGCATGTGTTTACGTGTGTGGGAGAGAGTTATGTTTACTCTTGCCAAAACCACACAGGCTCTGCTTTTGCAGGTGTAGTTCTTCAACAAGGAAACAAAAAAATGTCACTATTGATTTTTAAAAATCAAGTAAAAATCAAGTAGAAGAAAGACTCTCAGTGCATCCCCCCCCCCGCTCTCTACTTGTTTCATGTGTTGCATTTTTGTCATGACTGTGCTACTTTTGCAGGCAGCAGCAGAGGTGACTGGGCTGCGCACTCGACCGTGTGCAGTGACACACTAAGCCGGCAGAGAGACTAGCAGGCAGATACAATAGAAATTAATTCAGCTTGTTAAAGTGCAGCTGTCTGGTCAGCACTGAGCAGGTGTCACCCCTGTCACCCCCCACCCAACTTCACTCTCCACATTCATCTATTCATTTGCACTCCCCTTCCCCCATACAACCCTCTAGCTTGCTATTATAACTATCAACACCTTTTCAGTCATAAAACAACAAACAGCCATGTACTATACGACCTGTTTTACTACACAAGTAATAAATAAGTAACATAATAATTCATAATTTTTCCATTCTTGCATCTTTCTAACTAACACCTTCCTCTTTCCCTTCGTCCAGCTCCTTGTTGCTTTATTCTAGTGTGAGACCTCCCCCAGGCAGACATGAACCTACAAAAGAATATGTTAAAAACCGACTAAAACAAGCTGTTATATGAGTGATATTTTGAGTTAATGAGGCAGTTGATGGTGCCATAAATTCTTCTGCAGGAAGAATTTAATGCATTTCATGTACGATGGCAGAAAAAAGACAGGAATGATCTGAACAAAAGGGGAAATGAATTACTGAACTCATGCTTAGAAGTTGAGGTTGTTTCGGTGGAAAAGTCTGCTGTTTGCATTCATGTCGCCAGTTTTAGCAGTGATCTCTTCCCTTATCCTCAGGACACTAACAGATTTTATATTTGATGCACTGTCATTCTTATTTTCTGCCGTAGATAACACATAACTCTAAAATGCAAAAAAACAGGTTCACTCTACAAATTCAAACTGAGCAGATGGGAGGGTTTGTAGGTCAATTCTTTGATGTTTTGGGGGAATTTAAATAACCCATGGACAAGGTTACATTCTTCCAAATAGCATTTAATGAGCGAATGCATATTTTATTTAAGACATTTAATAAATTACCTTAAAACTTGCACTGATTTCACATGAAATGTAAATGAAATATCAAACACTTTAAGTATTTTTTTTATAAAAAGTGTTTAGAAAGCTTTAGAACATATGTGATATACAGTATGGAGATAAAAATGTACAGAAAACACAGACAAACAAGAATCCAGGACAGGATGGCTTTGTGACAGGACAGATTTTAATTCAGTCAAGTCTTCATTATGATTCTTAGTTCATATTTCTTATGAAATCCCAGCAAGGCGAGGAAAAATACAAAGCACATTTTCTATCATTTCCTTCATCAAAAATTACATTAAATTTAAAGTTAAATGCAAATTAAAGTTAACCTGTGCATAATTTCAGATATAAAAACTACACACAAACGGTTCTTTAAGGTGAAACGGAGAAAGAAGAGGGTGACATAGAGGTTCCCAACTTTCCGTCGGGCCTCCAAAGCCCAGAACCCCTCCCTGTCTTCAGCATTTACCTTCATCTTATTGCCCTACACCCGTTCATTTGAGTTGCCTGCTCTCTCCTCCGCTGAGCATCCTTTTTTTTACAGCTATTCTCCATCTCTTTGCCACCTGCCCTCTCTCCCCTCCCTTCGTTCCTCGTTGCATCTGTTGTCTTTCCATCTTACACTCTACCCCCACCCCTTTCCCCCTTCCTCCCCGCCGGTGGTGACCGTACACCGACCGGATCACAGACTCTTGTTGTCAGTCACTTTCCCGGCGAACAGACGGCAGCAGCAACAGCAGCAGGCGGAGCGGAGACGGCAATCCCCCCACACGCACACATCTACCCCACCCCTTTCAAAAAAAAACAACAAAAAAAAACGGAGGCAGGAGGGGAACAAAACCTTGCGGGACACCTGTGCTGCTGGATTCCCTCTTTTGGGGCTTTCATGAACATTATTAGAAACCTAAATTCACACCCAGTTTTTGGGTTATGTGGACGAGGAGCGGAGATCAGTAAAACTGGGATGTAGATGCAGAAAAAAGCGGCCAAATCTGCTTCGATTGGACTGTGGCGAAGCCGTCGGCGGCACCACCAGTAGCACCAGCACCAGTATTGGTCGGTCGGCGGATGGAGATGCGTTGTGAAGGCGGAGGGATGATGATGATGATGATGATATAGCAGGTTGCTGCAGGGTCGTGCCGCATTGCCTGGCCGCCGCGAGCGACGCCGGGGAGTCGGTGATGCTGTCGTCGTCATTGTGCCACAGAAAGAGAGAGAAAGAGAGGAGAGGCTCTGACATGGAGGGAAGCGGCTGTCTGTCGACTCCGAGCTCAGGCCGCCCGGATCAGCAGGTTGGATGTACCGCCTGAAGGCTGGAGGACCTGATTCATGATATACATGGTGGGAAATTGTGATAAAGTTGAATTCTTTGTGGTGGAACTGATTTTTTTCTGTGCGCAAAAAGTGAATGGCCCATATGTTGATTATGCATCACAGGAGCATCATAGCAGCTGCGTGTGTGCCAGTTCAGGGTGGATTACGTCTACAGAGCAGCAGGCCTCCATCTGAAGTCAGCTACTGATCAGGAAAGCGTGAAGAAAACACTTCAGTATACTTTCTTACCCTGTTGCTGCTCCGGGGGTAACCATTTGTACTGGTGTTTCATTGGAAGCTGGTGTGGTGTGATCCCCCGTGGAGGGACAGCTGTTGCAAAAGATGACTCACTTACAGGCTGGTTTGTCTCCAGAGACCCTGGAGAAGGCCAAGGTAGAGCTGAAAGAAAACCCTGAGACTTTACACCAGGACATCCAGGAGGTCAGGGACATGATCATCACCAGACCGGACATCGGGTTCCTCAGGACAGACGATGCGTTTATCCTCAGATTCCTCCGAGCCAGGAAATTCAATCACTTTGAGGCGTTCCGGCTGCTGGCACAGTATTTTGAGTACAGACAGCAAAACCTAGACATGTTCAAGAACTTGAAAGCAACTGACCCGGGCATTAAGCAGGCCCTGAAGGATGGTTTCCCTGGCGTGCTCTCCAATCTGGACAGATATGGCAGGAAAATATTGGTCCTGTTCGCTGCCAACTGGGACCAGAGCAGGTAACAAAGAGGGGTTGTTATTAATGAGAAGAAAAAAGGGCTTTTGGAGAGTAGAAATCAGTGTTTTAATCTTTATAAAGTGGAGACTGGTTTATGGAACTGTCTATTCAGCACCACACAGCTGTTGTTTACTAGGAAACTACAAGAACTCTTTAACCAACTAAATAATCTTTATGGAAATATTAAAATAAAAGTATGAAATCCAAAATAATAAAAACACATGTAGCTAAATATCCATATATATCACCCATACACTGTGTAAATGCTGAGCTCATTTCCTGGCAAGGATTTTAAGATGGGAGGACATTTAGTGAGGTGGCCCACTGATGTTGGACTAATTGGCTCAGGGTCAGCATTCCAGTTCATCCCAAAAGGTGCTGTCTGGGCTGTGTCCAGTCACAGCACACTGTCTGCAGCGTGATGATGAAGCGTAATACCTTTTTTTTTAAATGAGGACTGAGAGGTAGCCTACCCCAAATCACAAATCACAGCCTCACACCAGAGGTGACAGGGGGGAGGGTGTACAGTACAGTTTGTACTTATTTATAATTTATTTCAGCATGAACACACAATGTCAAATATTCTCAAGTCTGGCTACATGGTTTTTAGTCTTTTTACCCAAGCTGGGGAAATGGCTCTGGTCACCTGGTCTACAGTTTTGCCCCAGACTTAAATATCCAAACAACTATAAAAAAACAAAACAAAAACTGAGCTGTAATAGCTTAGCAGGCCATTGAAGATGTGACTGTATGTCTCCCTCAGGATGAACTGTTTTCAATTTGATTTCGATTTTGGTGATCAAATCTTTATTTTGTAGATACAACACAGGCAGAATTTTGTGTTCCTTGCAGTTTACTTTGGTTTATCACCAAATAATGTCAGGCAGTAAACTAAAGTTACACTGATCAGTTTTATTTTTGAATGTCTTTGACTGATATAAGATTTATACAGGCTCTGTTGCATTTATTGCTAAGTAACAAAGTTAGCATACTACTAATATGTTCAAACTAAACAGTGAATATATTCAGCATGTTTGCATGACTGTAAAGTAGAACCTTCCCATCCAGTAAAAAGCAGTTTAACAGACACCAAAAAGACTTTTATAGATGTCTGAAAAATACTAAAATTAGTTTTTACAGGCATTTTCTCACTTTGTTGACATGGCTACAAAAATGTTTACATCTAAATTTGGTTAAAATGGTACGTCGTTCTCTGCAATCTCCTCAGCAGATATAAACTGTTTCTCGGGGCCAGTAATAATTTTTTTAAGTTTGCTTATTTGAAGAAATAAAAAAGGCTAGGTGTGATCTGTATGTCTAAATAATGGTCTAAACCAAATTTAACCCAATTTTAGTTTAATCCTTGCGAACCATTCAGACCTTCGGTATAATCAACAGAGAATTACAGAGTGGGTAACCATGAGTTGATGAAAAGTTGATGTTAGGTTGAATTTAGTTCTTTGCAATGGCCATAAAATATATATTTTTTTCACCTTTCACTTTCCAAATAAGTTTAGTTTCAATGTATAAATACGTTTAAATGGCTGGTTGACCAGATTAAACCCAGAAAACAACACCCACGTCTCGTGTTCTGGGGCCTTGTCTTGTTATCTTATGACGCCTTGAAATGAAGTGTTGGTTTCTTGCACGTGTTTGTCACATCCTGTATTCATCTTATGCCTCATGTGCCCTATACTGTAAATCATCTCAAGACCTTTCAGGGCCTGGCTTATTCACCCACTGTGGCTTATTTCAGGGGAAAAATCTTTGTAATTACAACTATCAGATAGTAACAGGTTTAAATAGAACATGGTAAATGGACTGGTTCTTATATCGCGCTTTTCTACTCTACCGGAGCACTCAAAGCACTTTAGGCTTTAGATATGAATGTTTATGCTTTAGATAAAGTGGTGCCAGAGTACTTAATTCAGTAACATAGGGGCTGTTAGATACCCCTCATTACTCTGTGTTTATATCCTTACAATTTTAGTCAATAAAATAACAAATTAATGTAAAATTAAGTGCTGAAATTACATTTCCTCAACATTTTAGGGAGGAATCTGCAGACAGCATTTGTGTATTTTTTTGTTATATTTTTTCATTAGTCTGTATTACTGTCACTATTCATTCACAGAGTCTAGTGCTTTACTGTCTCATAAATAACAGCACAGACTGAGCCAGACTGGTTCAAGGCTAGAAACTTGACTCATATTAAAGCTCTAAGTTGCAGTTTATTTGGCTTCAATATAGAATCGGGCTTGTTTATTGTTTTGGATATAACCAGAATCTGTAGAGACGTCCACCATCTGTTCCATATGTCTGATTACACAACAAATAATTTACCGTGTATCTAATAAAAACCAAGGAAATAACAATAACCCGACAGATCTCGCTCGCTTTCGCATGACTTTGATCACATAAACTACACATAGTGTGATAAAACCTTTATGTTTTAGTGTGGTGTCAAGTAGAAAAAGTTTGCAAGTTTTAATTGCATTCATAAGATTAAAATAAAATAAATGATTGATCGCTCCTCTCTGAACATGAATCAGTTTGTGAAATCTGTCTGGGTGTTTCATGTTATGCTTTTGTTTCTGTCCAGTGCAGTTTAGAAAGACTTAAAAGCTATGTTGGATATTCTGGATATATTATTAGTAGTCTCAACTAGTAGACGCCTCAACTTGTGCCCGCAATTATGAAAAGGACATCTGTTTTGCTGCCTGATAAGCTAATTAAAAAATACATTATCTGTAGACTAAGGCAATAGGTTTCTTGATAAGGAAGCAGAGAAAGATGAAGAGCGAGATAAGATAATGAAGGGCAACAACAAACAGGAAAAAAAGCACAAGTGTTAAATAGGTACGTGAAGCATCTGAGGTATCAGCTGGATGAAAACCCACAGGGATGGACGAAAGTAGCACCAGGGACCACACAGTCACCAATGACAACAATTAAAATGTCCCTGAAAACACCCAGCAGATACATTTGAGCTTTTTCACAACCATTTTGTGGCACAAAGGAACTAAAGACCTATAATTAATTCATGACCAAATTAAATTGAGTGAAGGTTATCAATAAATTTTACTGACAAAGTTGTGTCAGGCTGATTCAGAGATACCGTCTACAGCTCTTTCATGACATTTATGAATGAGGGCAGTTCAGCACTCTTGTCTTTTAACTGATTCAAGTAACATTTTTTATTTAATAAATTCTTTAGTCAATGTTAGCAAATGTCAAAGGCTTTATCAAAGTTTGTCATGAGCGAGTTTGATGTCCGCAGTGTTGACCCGTCTAATCAGAACTCAAACCAGAGATTTTTTTTTATCTTGCAATCAAATGCCGCAATAAATCCTCGAATTTGAGAAAGTGTAGCTGGGAGATGTTTGATATTTTCAACTTTTAACTTTACAAATGTCCTTCATCTCCTTAGCTCGTCAAACCGTCAATATATATACTTTTTTTCATTTCTCTTCATGACTGTAAAATCTGTTCTGCTATTTTGTTAAATTAAAAGCTATCTTACATTCGTCTCAGATACACGTTTGTGGACATACTGAGGGCTATCTTGCTGTCACTGGAATCTATGATAGAAGATCCCGAGCTGCAGGTCAACGGCTTCATCCTCATCATTGACTGGAGTAACTTCACCTTCAAGCAGGCATCCAAACTGACTCCCAGCATGCTGCGACTGGCGATTGAGGGACTACAGGTAAGGAGCTGGGTTGGATCTGACTCTGACTCCAGAGCTGCAGTTTGCATCCCGAAACATGAAAATGATTTATTTGATCCTGAACCAGAATTGTTCTTAAATCCTGTACGAAAAGCTTTAGTTTCATTTTGTTTCACACTTTACAATCATATCGAATGTCCTAATATGTTAGTGGCAAATTATTCTTATTTCCTGAATATATTTGACACTAGAGCAAAAAGTTAGCAACTTATACATCGATTAACATAGTAAATAGGATAAATATCCTATATTCTAAGCTTCTACAATTACAGTCTTGTCCCTGACCAACTTTATTTTCCCTCTTCTGTAAAATCGTAAGCTTTACTTTTCTCTAAAGTACTATTTTTGATTTTGCTACAGCACCGGAACAAACCTCCAGCCCTCTTTCCATCATCCTCTCTGCAGTCGAAATGTTCCACTTAGGAACAAGTCAAGCACCGTGTTAAAGCTGTGAGCTTCTTTAAATCGCATGAGGAAAAAAATAATGACATTTCCATTTTGATTACGCACTGCTGGGTATTTCTTCTTCTTCTTCTTCTTTTCAAGCCTCATTTGGCAGGTAGATGATGTAAAAAAAAGTGATTTTTACTGGTTGTCAGTTTGCTAATAAGAGGTGGTATTCCAGCTTTTATCGTGTAAACAGAGAAATGAAGTGAGATATGACATTTATACTAGTATAGTTAAGATTTTTTTCATGGCATGAAAACGCATTAGTCTTCTTAGCCGTCACAAACACCTTTAACGTTATTACTGAAATAGGTTACGGGAGAAAAGACTCACAGGCAGCACATAGCGCTGTCCTCGTGTCACTAGCCAAACCCGAGAGGAAAGGTCTTGCTTATTGCTGTGTTTGGGTGACAATTACTCGTGTTGTGGTGACATAAATCTGTCTGTAGTCACATTAGGGGATTTGTCTTCTTTATGGGGACAAAGTGCCCATAACATACATCAAAGTTTAAGATAAGGTTAGGACAAAGGGTAATATGGGGATGGTTGGTAAGTAAGAGTTACTTCTGAATGAACTAAATGAAAGTCAATGTAATGTTCTCTGAAATCTTGGAAAAATTTGTGTGTGTGTGTGTGTGTGTGTGTGTGTGTACATAGATAAGGGAGGTTGTTATTGCTTTCTCAACATCTCTGTGAATCATCTGGCAATTTGTGTTGAGCCCCATTAGTCAAGTGAAATCTAAGGGGAAGTGTTTCTTGAGGGAAGTGTTTCTTGAGACGCAGCATGGTCTGAGAAATTACCTGATATGTCTGTGATGGATACCAAAGTGTCACAACTGCATCGTTTGAGTTTTACACTTAATTTGCATCCTGTGGTTTTTTTCTTGCAAATTCCCTGAGGGTAAAACAAGCACGACAGAAGCTTTCTGTATACCTCTGTGAGAATAGAGTGTTTACCTTCCAAAAATCTAATGTTGCTGCTGATAAACAGGACCTGCATCAAACCCTCTTTTGAATATGAAGAAGGCTGAGAGTAATGACGGTTATCAAATTACCTTACCTTTGTAGTTGGTACTGTGTAAAAGGCCTCCATAGCAACAGCTGTTGTTGTTTGGTCCATAGGAGACTTGTTGGTCGTGTTACCTGTGATTTTAGGGGTTTGAGCATGATGACAATATATATGTTTCACTTCAGAGAGAAATAAAATGTAGAAATCATCCAGTGCTGTAATGACTGGTGACTTTTCGCTGCTACATTTTGAATGATTGAACCGGTGCTTCTGATATTCTGGAAACCAAGCCGAAAACAGAAGATTTTCTTTCAAATAATGACAGGAAACATTGATCAGTAACATGAAATTCTCACTGTATAATTTACACTCAGCGGACAGTTTGTTAAGTTCACCTTCCCAGATCTGCTTCAATTCTTCATGACATAGATTCAAAAAAGTGTTGAGCCACATAAACGCTGGCTGCACATCCACAATGTGAATCTCCCATTTCACCACACCCTAAATGTGCTCTGTTGGATTGAGATCTAGTGACAGTGAGTTTGAGTACAGCAAACTCATTGTCAGGCACAACCAGTTTGAGATGATCTGACCTTTATGACATGTTGTGTTATCCTGCTGAAAGCAGCTGTCATAAGATGGGTACAGTGTGGTCAGAAGGGATGGAAACAGTCAGCAAAAATACTGAGGTAGGCTGTGACATTTAAACAATGCTCAGGTGGTGCAAAGGGCCCAAAATGTGCCAAGATCCAACATCAGAACTGGGCAGGATGGGTCCATGCTTTCATGTTGTTTAGACCACAGTCTGACTACCATCCAAATGTCAGCACAAATCAAAACTTCTCAGACCTGACAATGTTTTTCCAAGCTTCTCTCATCCAGTGTTGGTGACCCAGTGTTGCAGCTTGAGTTTCCTGTTCATAACTGATACGTGTGATGGTGTGGACTTTACTGCTGTAGCTCATCTTCTTAGAGGTTTGATGTGTTGTATGTTAAAAGATGCTCTTCTGGTTGTGATGAGTGGTTATTTGAGTTACTGTTGCCCTCTTATCAGCTTATAGCAGTCTGAACAGTCTGAACTGTTTACATGCCTAAAAGCATTTTGTAACTGTTGTGTGTATTTACGTGTATATTAGGGTGGTTAGGGTTGCAGTGGTCTGGTAATGTTAATATCATGGCTTTGTACCAAATTATACAGAATTGTACACTTTTTTGTATCATTATACACATTATAATGATAGAATTAATTAATTAATTATCATTTACCCTTTGCTTTTTCTTATGAATTATGTGTTGGAGATAGTCTCAGGGTTCACTGGTCAGTTGTTTGGTCAACATACTTCCATCTGGCCAAATTCTCATTGGTCTAAATATAGGTGACTAGTCTTATTGTCACTAGTTGGCAAAATCCTGCTATTTTGCAAACTAATCAGCAATTCTTCTTAGAAGAGACTGAACTATGCTCCCTAAAGTCACATTTCTACTAATCCCCACAAAGACAAAGACGTTAGCAAAGTGCATTTCTTCTTTAGCCGGATACTTTCCACCTCCTCCACTTTCTGTAAACATTAGTTTTCTGCTGTCAGCACACAGTTGATGTGGTATGTTGGTGAGGGAAAAATCCTCCCTTTTTTCAAGGGGAGGAAATAACTGTAGACTGAAGCCAGTGCATCACTGTGATGAGTCCATACATAACACATTTCTGACGGCTCTCCAGACACAGATTAGAGCCTGAATTATTGATGGGAGCTATTAGCTGAGCCCTGAGTCATTCCTAACTGTGCGACTGCTTGGCCGAATGGATGTTCATCGCTTGGTGCAGAAAACAAAGAAAATAGGTGCGATAAGGTGGTTTAATTGGTTTTACTTTGAGAAATAAAATGCAAAAAGAAAAACTAGACACTGAAATCGAAATGGCTGTGGTGATCAATTCAGTCTTATTTTTCTCAGGATATGAAAAGAAGAATATAATTTCTGATGGCCTATGGCCTTTACTTTCCTATTGTCAGCATTTTTTTTTAATTACCGCAAATGCCATAAAGTACCAATGTATCCTGCGAACAGTTATTGTGTTTGTGCATGTGTCCCGTGCCTCATATGCTTTATTTCTTTGTCCCACTGAGCTACATTAAAGCCTAAACAATATTAAAAAATCCATCATTGTGCCACCTTAATATGTTCCTGAATAACACGAGTACACTCTTACACTTGTTTGTTTTGACTCAGTCACACAAACAAACGCTGTCCTGGTGTGTTGAATATTCATTCGAGCCACAAATATGTATTAATTCACAGCTAAAAATACATAGGACCCTACACACATAGTTTTCTCTGTTTTTGTAAATTTTGCTAAATGATAATAAGGAGAATACACATACCACTACTTAAAACCTGAACTACATACTTTTCTTGTTTAAAAGTCAGAAGACTCCAGTATACTCGGAGCAGAGGGCCTTTTAAATGAACCCAAATTCAAAAGCTAATAAAGGATCGTGCTGCAAGTTAGGTGCATATAAATTGCATTTGTGGCACAATTTTCCCCAAATAATAATTTTTAATCCAAATAAGCACCTAGGAAATGCATTAAATATTGTATTTCAGCCTCTGTACAGCAGAATTAAGCCTGAATCATTCCCACACACTCAGAGAGAGATCTGAATACTGTTAAACAGTCAGTGAGTCACTTCAGTCTGAGCAGGTTTGGTTGTGAATCTTTAAACCATTAAGTGCACTGAAAGCAGCTGACTCACACTAATGTACAGAGCTTTTTTGGGTGTGAGAATTTGAAGTAGTTTCAGGCTGATTTACACCAAATGCATCCCTGAGTTAAACTTTTCTGCGCGTCAGCAACTTCATACGCTGCTGTCCATGTTTCTCTTTGTTTCTAAAGACTTTTCAGTTCGTTCTGCAGGATTTTCTGACGTCGATATGAACTGACACCAACGAGACATGTAAAAGCAGCTACAAGCATGCAGTATTATTAGTGTTTTAGAGGAACTGTTATCAATCTCAAAACCAAAAGGGGTGAACGTTTGTTTATTTTAGGTTTTGGTTAATCTCTTGTTTTTCTTGCATGGTTTTCAGTAGTGCTGTGACCACAATTCACTGCATGTTCCACACTTCCTTCCTATCAGCTGAAAAACAGGCTGAATATGTAACTACAGCAAATCAATTCCACTTACCTTGAAATTAATTCAAATTGAGCTTGACAGTTGAGTTTGCCTTTTGGTGGATAAATAATCTTAACCATCCCAAAATAAGCTAGTTTGACATTCTTGAATTGGTGCTCAAACTGCTTCGTCTGTGCTTTAAAGTTTGTCATGGCAACCCTGATAGTGTTAGTTTTAAGGAAATAGCATGTAGGCCACATGCAGTGAGATCCAAATTTGTAGCTCAGTATTGTAAACAGATCACAGAAGAAGCATGTCTGGATCCCTGCTGGGGCCCCCTCGAGGGCTCTGTGTTCATTTTTATATCTGCAAATACACGACTGATTGTGTTTTTCTGAGGATTATCTTTTGGG